AGGTCTGACTGTCAGTGGGATGATCCTGGCAGCGGTTGCCGCTGCCTCCTGCCGCTGGCTTCAGAACAGGGCCTGAGTCCTTCCCTGTTGCCCGGGGCTCTTGGCTCTGTCTGGAGCCACCTAGCACGCTCTGCTCTTCCCTCTCTGGGTGCTACTCAGGAAAAGCGATGATTAATATGATTGTCAGCTTGACCGGATCTGCGCGTAGAAGACAAACCTCCGGTATTCCTGTGGGGGAGTTTCTAGATTGAGTTAACTGAGGTGTGACGACTCATCCTGACTGTGGATGGCATCATCCCATGGTCCAGGACTAAATAAAAAGGAGAAAGTGAGCTGAGCACTGACATCTGTCTCCTTCTACTTCCTGGCTATGGAAGTCACATGACCGGCTGCCTCCCAGTCCTGCTGCCATGCTGCACCCTCAAACCGTGAGCAAACACAAACCTTTCCTTTCTGAAGTGGTTTTCATCAGGTAGTTTGCTGTAGCACCGAGAAGAGTGACATACACAGAGACTGTGGGTGTTTTCTTTCTGTATCAGTTTGTACAGCTGTGTAACAAATCACCCTCAATCCCATGACCTGAAGCCACAAACAGCATTTCTCACAGATCCCTTTGCCTGTGGATGTCTTCTGACTACAGCGTGGCTCAGCCAGTCAGCTGATCCCTTGAGTATCTATCTGCTCACCGAGCTGTGGTCTAGGGTACTGAGTTGGTAGCATACAGGCTAGTCCAGGCCAGACTGGGGCTTCTCTGGTTCCTCAGCAGGTCCTGCTGAACTAAGACACACAGATGTTAAGGCGCCAGGTGGACACTGCAAGGACTCCTGAGATTCTCAAGTCCACCCACTTCATCTGCCTCAGCAAGCCACAGGCCACCAGGCTGGAGGAGGGCACTCCACATCTCATAAGAAAGGCTATAAAAAGGGGCAAGGGTGTGGGCTCAGCAAGGAGTGAAGAATGGTCTTCTCACATCATTCTCCCCGTCACCCATTCTCTCCAACCCTGTCACAGGCACCGTGAACTTCTGTTGAAGCCATGTCTGCTTGACCATCTCTGGTCTTCATCACACAGACCTCAGTATAAGAAGTACCTTCCAGCCCAGGTGGGGTGTCACTGGTGTGACTGACCCTGGAAAGGGTCACAGAACCAAGGGGTTAGCATATCAGTAGTCCTGTGGCCAGGGGACTTTTTAAAAATTTTTTATTTTTATTTATTTATTTTTGTTGTTGTTGTTGTTGTTTGAGACAGTGTTTCTCTGTGTAGCTTTGCGCCTTTTCCTGGAACTCACTCTGTAGCCTAGGCTGGCCTTGAACTCACAAGAGATCCACCTGTCTCTGCCTCCCGAGTGCTGGGATTAAAGGTGTGCGCCACCACCACCCGGCCCAAGGGGCTTTTTATGGACGTCAGGGAATGTCATTCATCAGTGTTCTATTAGTGTAACAGACCACCCAAGACTGGGGACCTGAAAGAAAAAACATTTATTTTCTGGAGTTTAAGGGCATGGTGTCAGCTTTAGCTTGGCTTTGGTGAGGACATCTTGGTGAATAGTGTCCCTTTTATGTGAGCACATGAGATGGGGTGAGGTGGGAGGCTGAGGTGAAACCAACCATGGTCCCTGGTGAACCATGTTAGTCCTTTCCAATGACCTGATACTCTCCCACCAGGCCCCTTTTTAAAGACTCTCTCTCTCTCTCTCTCTCTCTCTCTCTCTCTCTCTCTCTCTCTCTCTCTCTCTCTCTCGTGTGTGTGTGTGTGTGTGTGTGTGTGTGTGTGTGTGTGTGTGTGAGTGTGTGTGCACATGCGTGCATGTGCATGCCTGCATATATGTGTCTGTGCTTATGGTAGTCAGAGGACAACTGTAGGAGTCAATGTCAGCTCTTTCAATTGTGTGGGTTCCTCTAGTTAGGAGGCTTGACGGAAAGCACCTTTACCCACTGGGCCATGCCACTGGCCCCAGATCCCACCTCTTAACAGTCCCACCTCCTCTATACCACCACACTAAGGCCCACACTTCCATCACATGCACCCTTGGCTGGTGACACACACCTCCTGCACCCCTCCCCCAGCACGGTAGAATCAGCCAAGACCGTCTCTCTAACATCATTAGCCAAGGAGGGACGGCGGTGCCAGAAGAAACTGGAAAAGCATCTCCCGGCCCCAAGACGTCCCGGGCAAGAAATGGAAGGACGCGGGGCACAGATGGTGTTTTTTTAATCTCAGATTCCAATTGGCGGCAGAGGCCTTGGAAGAGGAAGGAGCATATGGGGACTGAACAGCTGGCTCAGTAGACACGAGCGCGGAACAAGATCTGAGTTTCTGGACTGTGGCTGGAGCTGGGTTCTTGGGCCTAATATTATCTCTTCTCATCAGGCTCTGCACAGGACTTAACTGTTTAGGACTCATGGCTGGCAGGGTCTGGGGGTCCCCCACCTGACAGAAGGACCAGGACAGCAGAGACCCTGCCTGGAGTTCTAGGGCCAGTGGTGGCAAACCCATCCTCACCCAATCACTCCAGCTCCAGGGTCAGTCTTGGTTGCTGGAGTCCCCGTACACCAGGAGGAAGGGTCTGAAGCCAGGTTTCCACCTCTGTACTTTCAGAGATGAAGCCTATGTTGACTCGGGGTGTGATATACACAGGAAGAGTGTGTTAGCCTGTGTGTAGCATGTAGTGTGTAGGGTGTGAGGTGCATGAGGATCATGCACATGTGTGTATATGAATAGGTGTTGGGAAAGTTCCTTCCCTGGGGAGATGCAAACAAAGTCTACATGGTGGACTCTTTGAAGAGGTACAGCCAGTCTCATGAAGATGGCAGTCGTTCTGCTCAGAGGATAGTGCCGGAGTGAGTGCGTGGTGCACAGGGAGCATGGGGTGCATGTCTGTCAGGAGGAAAACTAGAGGGCTGTGTTCTCAGAAGGCAGTAACTGGAAGGTGGTCCCACGTGCCTGAGGTGTCTGTGTATGTAGAGTGGGAAGCAGGGACAGTCCCTGCACCTCACACCTGAGTGGCAGGGAAGCCATCTTCCAGCCTCCTTTGTACCTTCCAGGCTCTGGTCATGGGTCCCCGGTATCCCAAGCATATCTGGTGCTGCCCTCTCTTACACCTGCTGCTTCCTTCTCTGCACCAAGGGGTGTGGCCCTGTTGGCCTGTCTTCTGTGCTGTTGGGTGTGTCTCTGGTGTCTATGCCTGTCTGCTCCTCCAGAACTCCACAAAGGGACACATCTATCCACCGTGCTCAGTCTCCATGAACCAGTGAAGGCTCAACTGTCACAAACGGAGGGCTCAGAGTTTGAGTCCTCCGACGCCTCCAGCGGGCATCTGGCTGGCCCCACATCTGCCTTGTCCAGTGGCTTGTCTGATTTCAGGCCATGCTGGTATTCTAGACATGTTCAGCCACAGAGGGCTCTCTCTCCTCACTCCAGCCGCTTGAGACCGCTTTCCTTTCCTCATTGTGTGGCCCGTGCTTCCGCCATCTGTCTGGTGGCATTTCCTTGGATCCCCTAAAATGCAGCGGGATCCAACAGATTCACAAAAGGCTCTGTGAACCCTGCATAGTACAAGGTTCTGCTTGGAGGAAGCTACTTCCCAATAGAGAGCTTCCCCAGTGGCTTCAGGAGAGTGGCTTCCTGTGGTCCTCTATGACACCTATTCATCCATCTTCTGTCATTTAAGAAAGAGGGGGGGCTTGCTCTGAGCACTGCTCTACCCATGAGGAGGAATGTGGGCCCATGATGAGGTCTTCACTGTGCATCTGGTACGGATGGGGTAAAGGGTAAGGCTCTACCCTGTGGACCCATCCAGATCCTCTGCATTCCAGGGTGCTGGCTGGGTCCTGACACATTGGCTCCGTTTTGCCCTGCCCATTCCCTTACCTGAATTCCTGACAGTTGTGAAGGATGTGTCCTGCCATATTCCTAAATAGCTCTGTCCAGATGCCCTAGAGCTTGGACAAAGAACTTAGACAACAGCTAGGTACTTGTCTTAGGGTTTCTATTGCTGTGAAGAGACACCATAAGCACAACAATTCTTATAAAGGAAAACATTTCATTGGGTCTTGCTTCTAGTTCAGAGATTCAGTTTATTATCATGGTGGGGAGCATGGTGGCATGCAGACAGACATGGTGCTGGGGAAGGAACTGCTACATGCTGATATGCAGGCAACAGGAAGTAGACTGTCTGTCACATGATTGAAGCTTGAGCAAGAGACATCAAAGCCCAACCCCACAGTGACACACTTCTTCCCACAAAGCCACGCCCACTTCAACAAAGCCACACCTCCTAATAGTACCACTCCCTTTGGGGGCCATTTTTTTTAAACCACCACAGTACTCACCCAAAGCCACTGTTGTCTCCTATATTAGAGCCCCAGATCTGTCTGGTCTACTCTTCCATAAGGCTCTGGACAGTGCTGGGTCCTCATGAGCCCAAGCTAACTCTAGTAATTCCGGTTCCCTAGCCATTGATTGGCTTTAAAAAAGCATTTGACCACATTCTGGCCATTGCAATATGAAATTGCATCTGTGATGCCTGGAATCTTGGCAGCTATCTTGGGGCTATGAGGAGCATTAGCATGAATATCTAGGCCTGGTCCCTGGGGTGGTGCTATTGGGAGAGGTCAAGATGTCTAAGAGACAGAGACATACTCAGTAAATGATATTCTTGAAGAAGGAAGTAGCTGATTATTGAGGCTCCTCAGTTTTATTGAATTTGACTATTCTCATATAAATACTAATATCTAGACACAATGTAACTTTTTGATTGGGATGCTTTTAATTATGTCAATCGCTCCAGCCAGGACTTGCAGTACCTCTAATACAGGCTGGCATGTAAGCTTCTCCTGTGGTATTGAACTCGACTCACTGGCACTTTGGTGGGGGTTTTGGCATCTGTGTACATCAAGATATTGTCTTCCATGTCTTGCCTTTTGTATTTCTTCTGGCTTGAGTGAGGGTGGTGCTGGCCTCACAAAACGAGTTTGGAAGTATTCCCTCCTCCTCCTCAGATATTTGGAAGAGTTTGAGAAGAATTGGCGTCCATCTTCCTTTAAGTGCCGAGCAGCGTGTGCCTGGTAGGCAGTTGGTGCCAAGCTTTTTTGCTGGGCTGGATTGCTTGCCCTGTCTTCCCTCTTTGATGTTACTGCTCTGTGCACATTCTGCATGTCCTCAGTTCTGTGCTCATTCCGCATGTCCTCAGCTCTGTGCACATTCTGCATGTCCTCAGCTCTGTGCACATTCCACATGTCCTCATCTCTGTGCACATTCCGCATGTCCTCATCTCTGTGCACATTCCGCATGTCCTCATCTCTGTGCACATTCCGCATGTCCTCATCTCTGTGCACATTCCGCATGTCCTCAGCTCTGTGCACATTCCGTATGTCCTTAGCTCTGTGCACATTCCGCATGTCCTCAGCTCTGTGCACATTCCGCATGTCCTCAGCTCTGTGCACATTCCGCATGTCCTCATCTCTGTGCACATTCCGCATGTCCTCAGCTCTGTGCACATTCCGCATGTCCTCAGCTCTGTGCACATTCCGCATGTCCTCAGCTCTGTGTACATTCCGCATGTCCTCATCTCTGTGCACATTCCGCATGTCCTCAGCTCTGTGCACATTCCGCATGTCCTCAGCTCTGTGCACATTCCGCATGTCCTCATCTCTGTGCACATTCCTCATGTCCTCAGCTCTGTGCACATTCCGCATGTCCTCATCTCTGTGCACATTCCGCATGTCCTCATCTCTGTGCACATTCCGCATGTCCTCATCTCTGTGCACATTCCACATGTCCTCATCTCTGTGCACATTCCTCATGTCCTCAGCTCTGTGCACATTCCGCATGTCCTCAACTCTGTGCACATTCTGCATGTCCTCGGTATTTGACCTTGGTAGGGGCATTACTTACCTTTTGTAGCTGTAACCAAAGACTAAATAAGAACTAGAGGAGGGGGCTATTTTGGATCACAATTTAAGGAAGTCCATTGTGGTGAGGGAGGCATGACTGGGGGAACTTGCTCAGATTTGGGCAGATCAGAGATAAGACAAGAAGTAGGGTGGGGTTAGAAACCTAAGATCTGCCCCCAGGAACCCACCTCCTAGGCTCCACAAACTCCAGGGACAGCGTCACCAGTGGGAGACCCAGTGTTCAAACCCCAGAGCCTGTGGGGACACTTCACATGCAAACTGCAGCCAAAGCGTGTTTCTCACCTGCCCTTTCTTCCAGGTCACAGCTCACCACACTCTCTTCAGAGCTTCCTGATTTGTAGTATCAGTTATAATGTCTCCTATTTTATTTAAAATTATATTTATTTGATTTTTTTCTTGGCTGATCTAGCTACAGATCTGTCAATCTGTCTATTTTGTTTATCTTTCCAAATAACTCAACTCTTAGTTTTGCTGATTATTTCTGCTTTAAAAAAATTAAATTTGGATCTGGAAAGAGGGTCCAATGGCTAAGAGCATGGGCTGCCCTTGCAGAGAACCTGGGTTTTGTTCTCAGCACCCACATGGCAGCTCACAACCTTCTGTAACTCTAGTTTCAGGCTATTCAGTGTTCTCTTCTGGCCTCTGAGGGCACTGAACATACATGGTTAAATTTAGATGCAGTTAAAATACTTGAACACATGAAACAAAAATATTTAAGTTAAAAAAATTTAAACTACATTTATTTATTTATCTATTTATCTATCTGTTATTTATTTAGTGTGGAGAGGGAAAGATGCACACATGCCATGACCAAGTGGAAGTCAGAAGATCACCTGTAGAAATCAGCTCTCTCCCTCTATCATGTGGCCCTGGCCCTGGGGATCAAAGTCAGTTCATCAGGCTTAGTGGAAGGCACCCTTACCCACTGAGTCATCTCATTGGCCCCAATTTCTACTTTTTAAATTTCTAAGCTTGTTATTTCTTTCCTTCTGCTGAGTTTAGGCTTAATTTGTCTTCTTTCCCTGTTCCTGAAGGTGTGCAACTGAGTTGTATGATGTCGACATTTATTGTTGTGACATCAACAATATTTGCTCTTAGAGACATGTCTACTGCATCTCACAAGCAGGCTGGGCTTCTGCATTCATTCATTCCATGGTATGTATATTTAGATTTATTTTCCTATTATTAATGTGTACGTGTATGTGGGTGTGCATGTGTGCACATGAGTGCAGGTGCCTGCAGAGGCCGGAAGAGATGTCACAGGTCCCTTGGAGCTGGAGTCACAGATGGTAGTGAGCAGCCTGATGTGGGGAGTGAGAACTGAAATCAGATTCCCTTGGAAGAGCAGCAAGTGCTCTTAACCACTAAGCCATCTCTCCAGCCCCTGATGCTTTGGGATTTTTTTAAAAAAAAAAAACTTTCTTCTTTGGTTCTATCTTAGTTACTTTCCTCTTGCTGGGATAAAACACTGTGACCAAGGCAACTTATACAAGGAAGGGTTTGTGGGGGTTCACAGTTCCAGAGGGGTAGGAGTCCATCCCCATCATGACAGAAAGCATGACAGCAAGCAGGTCGGCATGGTGCTTGGGTAGCAGCTGAGAGCTCACATCTCCATCCACAAACATGAAGCAGGGAGAATGCGCTGGGATGGCAGAAGGCATTTGAAAACCTTAATCCCTCCCCTGTAGCCAGATAAATCTTTCCTGTCCACTACTACCCAAATAACCAGTAAGAGGCTTAATATTAATTGCAAACTGTTTGGTCTATGGCTCAGGCTTCTTGCTAGCTAGCTATTACATTTTTTAAGGGATTTTTTTTATTCATTTTACATACTAACCACAGATCCCCCTCTCTTCCCTCCTCCTGCCCTCCAGTCTTCTCCCACCCAACCCATCCCCCATTCCTTCTTCCAACAAGGTAAGGATTCCCATGGGGAGTCAGCAGAGCCTGGTACATTCAGTTGAGGCAGGTCCAACCCCCTCTCCATGCATCAAGGCTCTGCAAGGTGTCCCACCATAGGTAGTGGGCTCCAAAAAGCCAGCTCATGCACCAGGGATGGATCCTGATCCTATTGCCAGCGGCCCTCTTAAGCAGATCAAGATACACAGTTGTCTCGAAGAAGGCCTAGTCCAGTCCCATGGAAGTTCCACAGCTGTTGGTCTAAAGTTCATGAGTTCTCACTAGTTTGGTTTGGTTGTCTTTGTAGGTTTCCCCATCATGATCTTGATGCCCCTTGCTGATAGAATCCCTCTTCTCTCTCTTCGACTGAACTCCTGGAGCTTGGCCTGGTGCTTGGCTATGAATCCCTGTATCTGCTTCCATCAGTTACTGGATGAAGCTCTATGATGACAGTTAGGGTATTCACTGATCTGATTACTGGAATAAGCCAGTTCAGACATCCTCTCCACTACTGCTAGTAGTCTAAGCTGGGGTCATCCTTGTGGGTTCCTGGGAACTTCCCTACTATCAGGTTTCTCCCTATCCCCTTGATGTCTCCCTCTATCATGGTATCTCTTTCATTGTTCCCCCACTCCGTCCTTGTTCTAGCTTGACCATCCCATTCCCTTATGTTCTCATCCCCCATCCCCTACCCTCCATTGTGCCCCGCTCCCGTTTACTCATGGAGATCTCATCTATTTCCCCTCCCCAGAGTGATCCATGCATACCTCTTAGGGTTTTCCTTGTTAGCTAGCTTTTCTGGAGTTGTGGGTTGTAGTCTGGTTATCCTTTGCTTTACATCTAGTATCCACTTATGAGTGGGTACATACCATGTTTGTCCCTCTGGGTCTGTGTTATCTCACTCAGGATGATATTTTCTAGTTCCATTCATTTGCCTGCAAATTTCATGATGTCATTGTTTTTTACTGCTGAGTAGTACTCCATTGTGTATATGTACCACATTTTCTTTATCCATTCTTCGGTTGAGGGTCATCTAGGTTGTTTCCAGGTTCTGGCTATTATGAACAATGCTGCTATGAACATAGTTGAGCATGTATCTTTGTGGTATGATTGAGCATTCCTGAGTATATGCCCAAGAGTGGAATAGCTGGGTCCTGAGGTATATTGATTCCCAATTTTCTGAGAAAACACCATACTGATTTCCAAGGTGGCTGTATAAGTTCGCACTCCCACCAACAGTGGAGGAGTGTTCTCCTTGCTCTACATCTTCTCCAACATAAGCTGTTATCAGTGTCTTTTATCTTTAGCTATTATATCTTAAATTAACCCATTTCTATTAATCTGTGTATCACTGTGTGTCTCATGGCTTTACCTGTGTTCCATTACATCTTGCTATCCTGGCAGTGCTCAGCGTCTCCCCTGACTCTGCCTTCCTTCTCCTTGTATCTCTCTTGGACTTCCCACCTGGCTGTCTCCTGTCTTACCATAGGTCAAAGCAGCTTATTTATTAACCAATGGTAGCAACATGTATTCACAGTGTACAGAAAGACCATCCCACAGCACTCCCCTAGTGACACACCTTCTCCAACAAGGCCATACCCCCCAACCCTTCCCAAACAGCCAACCTTGGACCAAGTATTCATAAGTCTGAGACTTATGGGGACATCTTCAAACCACTGGACCCACATTTTGTGGTTAGGCAGTACAATGTTTAACTTTTTCCATATCTGATAGTTTCCCAAAATTCCTCCTATTATTGACTTCTCATTTACTGCCACCGTGAACACAAAGACACTGGCAGGGGCTGATTTAGATCATGAACATGTTAAGGCTCATATTGTTGGCAGCGCATGCCTGTGCTGAGCAAGCTCTGGGCAGACAGCTCCTGAGAAGTCTCCTAGCCTTATGGGGGTTCCATCACATGCAACCAGGCTCCAAGACAGTCTCTGTCTTTGACTTTTGAAGATGATTATAATGTGTTCTGGAATATTCTTTAAAGTCATCTTTACTTGGTATTCTTTGAGCTTCATGAATCTGTGTGTTCAAATATCTCCCAAGATTTGCGAAACATTCTGCCAATCTTTCTTTCATTTTTAAATTTTGTTGCTGTTGTTGTTGAGACAGGGTCTTACTGTGTAATAACCCTAGCTGGCCTAAAACTCACTACGCAGACCGGGTTGGCCTCAAATTCACAGAGATCCAATTGCCTCTACGTCCTGAGTGCTGAGATGAAAGTGTGCCACCATGCCCAGCTCGGTCATTATTTCTTGAAATAAACTCTTTCTCTGGGTCCTCATGATTTCCGGGTCTCTCCCTGTAGCTTTCTCACCCTGCTTCATGCTTTTCCCCTCTCTTCCACTGGTTTTTCTTTTTGTTTCTCTTACTGGCTGATCTCAAATAGTTTGCCTTCAAGTTCATGACTTCTCTCCCTGTGCGTGTGCCCTTGGAGTTCTGGGAATCTGGAACTCAGCCTTGATTCCTTTTATTATCCGACTCCTCTGACCTGGCCTCCGTACCTGTGACAGTTAGCATCTCACAAGCTTCCCAGAGGGTCATGGTTTGAATTCCTTTTTAGGCCACTTACACATCTCCATTTCTTTAGAGTGGAGCTGTCTTAATTTCCTTTGTGTCACGTGTCCTTGAGGTTTCTGTTTGTTGAATGGCCTCGAGTGGGCATCTGTGTGCTGAGAGAGGAAACATCTTCTTCAGTCTTTGGGATTTGTCTCAGTATGTGACAGCTTTCTTCTGGGGCCCAGTCCTTCTGGAATTGCCTCAAGAATTGAGGCTCTGTAGAAATGCAGCTGGCTGGGGCCTCAGCTGATGAGCTGATTGGTTACCAGGACGCCTGGTAAATATGTCACCTGTTTGATCCCTGGGGAGAATTGACTCTGTCTCCTAGACTGCTCAGTAGGGCTGGTGTGGAATGAAATAGCAAAGAGCCTGTTCTCAGGAGTGTGGGTGCTGGTGGCTTCCTCCGGGCCCCTGAGAGGGCTCCCACTGGGTCTCAGGGAGGGATCCTGTGCAGAAAACACTGGACCAAGATCCTGACTAAAAGGGGCTAGAAGTGGGATCTGGTGCTGTTTTAGGGGTCACAGCTCAGAACAAGGCCTGGGGGCTTTAGGGCAGCTAAGGGGTTTTCCCTCCTGATGCCTGTGGTGAGGGTGGGGTACATGACAGTCTGAAAGCCTGCAGGAGGGCTGGGATGGTGAAGCTTGTTACAGAGTTGTGGCTTTTTATGGCAGGAGATTTTTAATTTCCTTCTTAAATGCTATTCATCAATTTTTACTGCAGTGGGGCTTTTCTTACTTGGTTTAGGGGTCCTCCCTCCCTTCCTCCCTTCCTCCCTCCCTCCCCTCTTCTTCCCTTCCTCCCTCTCTCCCTCCCCTCCTTCCTTTCTTCCTTCCTCCCTCCCCCTTTTTTCCTCCCTCCCTCTCTCCTTCCCTCCCTCCCTCCCTCCTTCCCTCCCTTCCTTCCTTCCTTCTTTCTTTTTTCTGTGTTCATGTTTTGAAACAGCATCTCACTGTGTAGACCAGGCTGGCCTTGAACTTGCAGCAGTCCTCCTGACTCTGCCTCTGAGTGCTGGGATGAGAACAGTCTTCTTAGGCTCATATATTTTAAGCTTTGTTCCCAGTTGATGGAACTATTTGGGAAGGATTAGGAGATGTGGCCTTGTTGGAGGAGGTGTGTCACTGGGTGTGGGCTTTGAAGTTTCAAAATTGCAATATTCCAGTTAGCTCTCTCTGTGCATCAGATTGTCTCAACATGTAAGCTCTCAGCTACTGCTCTGGCACTATGACTTCCTTCCTGCCTGCTGCCATGTCCCTCACCATGATGGTCACAGACTAACCCTCTGGAACTGTGAGCCCCAAATAGTATGCTTTCTTTTATAACTTGCCTTGGTCATGGTGGTTTGTCATGGAAATAGAAAAGTAACTGAGACATGGGATTATGGGTGTGCACCACCCACCAAGCCTGACTTTTATTCTATTTTTTATTTATTTTTAAATTTAGTTAATTAACTAATTGATTTTGTGTGTTTATGATGTACCTGTGTATGTTTGTGTGTGTGTGTGTGTGTGTGTGTGTGTGTGTGTGTGTGTGTGTAGGTCAGAGAACAACCTTGGGTGTCAGTTCTCACCCTACCTTTCATTTTGAGACAGGATCTCTTATTCACTGCTACCTACTCCAGGCTAACTGCCCACAGACTTCCTGGGTCCTCTTGTCTCTGCCTGAGATTATAGACACTTGCACTATGCATATGGCTTTTCATGGGTTCTGGGGATTTGAACTCATGTCATCAAGCTTACAGGGCAAGTACTTTACCCATTGAGTCATCTGCACAGTCAGCCTTCCATGGATTTTAAACAGGCCTTTTCCTTTTGTTTTTCTTCATCCCACTGGGTAGGAGACTCTACACCCCTGCTTCCTGTCATCATATCTGCCCCAATTCCAGCTTGGCTAACCTTGGCATCCCTGAGCAAATCCCACATCACAAACCACGGTAAGTGATGTCTGCTGAAGCAGAGGTGAGCGCCTGCCATCTGAATGCAGCTTCTCCTCTTGAACCTGAGCAAGCCGGGAGCCAAGGTGTCTTCAGCAGCACCAGGCCTATGACAGAGGACAGAGGTGGTAAGTCACAGATGGTGGGACACCTGGCCATGTCCCCTGTGCTCTGGCTGCGTTACCAGAACCTTCTTTTTATGCTTTTACTTTCACAGAATGAAGTGGAACACGGGCAGACACAGCGCAGCCCTCGCTTCTGCACATTAATGAAAAAAACCTATTTATGAACAGTGCTCTGTGAGGAATCTGAGTGGGGCTGGCAGGCTCAGGCAGAACCGGTCAGGCTCCCAGCTCTGTTTCACTGTGTCTACAAGTGTTCTGCGGATTTCTCTTCCACTGAGAAACAGAACTCGGGCAGGTCCCTGTCTTTTCTTCAAGCCTCTGGCTGCTTCTCTGTGGGCGGCTAGTGTGAGCATTAAGAACACAGGCCTGCGAAGTGCTTCCCGCTGGGCTTAGTCAGTACCAGAGTATGGTGGTGACTCCTGTCAACTTGATGGGCTCTGGAGTCAATGAAGGGGCGAGGCTCCGGGTGGATCTGTGGGAACATTCCCTGAAGGATTAGCAGAGAGGGAGGAGGCCCAGAGCGGGTAGCACTGTCCAGCGGTGGCCCAGATGTAAAGAGGCCCAAGGGAAATAATGTTGCTGCTTTTGCCGGCTGCCTTCAGGCCTAGCTGGTGAGTGCATCTCCTCCTCCTCCTCCTCCTCCTCCTCCTCCTCCTCCTCCTCCTCCTCCCCCTCCTCCTCCATTGTTACCACTGCTGCTGTCACCTCTCCCTGATGCAGGAACCTGGCTTCTTCAGCTTTTCAATGGGGAGCAGTGGCTCCCCAGGAATCCCCTAGGCCTTCAGTGTCAGATTGGGGCTACCGAGGCACCCAGCCTTCTGGACTGAGCAGCTCCCAGATTCGCTGCCTTTCCAGTGTGCGGTGGCCATTGTTGGACTACCCAGTCTGTACGGTGTAAGTCAATCCAGTGAGTCCCTCTAACACTTATTCATTGGTTCTGTTCCTCTGGAGAACCCCGTCCAGCACCATCAGGTGAGCTTGACACCCTCCGGAGCAGCAGTTCTCAATCTTCCTAATGATGGGATCCTTTAATACAGTTCCTCACGTTGTGGTGACCCCCAACCATAAAATTATTTTCGTTGCTACTTCATAACTAATTTTGCCACTGTTATGAATTGTAATGTAAGTATCTGTGTTTTCTGATGGTCTTAGGTGATCCCCGTGAAAAGATCATTCAAACCCCCCAAAGGGGTCACAACCCACAGGTCGAGAACCACTGCTCTAGAACAAGATTTTAGAAATGCATCCCTCAGCTGCACCTGTGTTTGCTGTTTGTTTACAGTATTTATGGATGATCACAGACATGAACAAAGCCAGCAGAAGATGAGGCCTGCAGACCCCAGGGCTATGCCCATGTCACAGCTGCTACCCTCCTTCACTCCAGATCTGGGTGTCCCGCTACTCTAAACCAGGGGACAAAGGACCCATGCTTTCCACCTGTCCTGTCCACACTTCCCCAACCTGGAATGCTAGCCAGCTGCTCTTTCTGTGTCTGCTGCTGTGGTGGGCAGATGTCCTCATTCTGGCTTTCTGGGGGACACCCAGGCTCTGCTCCTCAGAGGTGAGGGCCATGCCTTTTCCTGGGATCTCCCCAGTCTCCACTCAGTGCCCAGGCTTCAGTGAGAGCTCACCCTTTCTACTCTCCAAGTCTCCCTACTCGTGTTCCTTACTTTCATCTTGTTTAGAGGTAGAAAGACTTGGTGGAGCAGAGCTGATCAGATGGTGTGGCCAGGAAGCAGAGAGCGGTGACAGAGAGAAAGGAGCTAGGACAAGAGACACCTTTCCAAGATATGCTGTCCTCCATGACCTACTTCCTCCAGCCAGGCCCCACCTCCCCGCTTTCACCATCCTTCAGTAATGCTGTCAAACCACAAACCCACCTACAGATGAGTCTACTGATGAGATCAGGGCCTTAGGCCATCACCTTAGAGACCCTCATCTGCAGCCAACCCGCACAGCACAGGAGCCCAGGTGGGACATTTCTTATTTAAATGTGACAGATGTCATGTGTTTGTTAATTGTCTGTTTGGGCACCAAAAGACATGGACTCACCAGTTTTAAAAGATATAATTACTATTTTCATGTGTATGCCTGTCTGTGTGGATATACGCATGTGTGAGTTCACTGTCCACAGAGGCTGAAGAGAGCATTATATCCCCTGAAGCTGGAGTTACAGGTGGTTGTGAGCTATCCCAAGTGGGTACTGGGAATAAAACTCCCATCCTCTGGAAGAGCACCAAGAGCTCCGAACTGCTGAGGCCATCTCCACAGCTCTAAGGAGCTGTCTGTTCTGTTCTCTGCTTCATCTCTGTCACCAGGAAGGTCCACAGGGTACATAGTAGGTTTTCAGTAAATATGTATAGAATGAACAAAGCCCTGAAGCACATGGTTCTGTGTTATAAGTTGGATGCTGACCGGAAGTCATCAATAACATTGTATGAACGCACACAGGGCGGGGGGGGGGGGGGGGGGGGGAGATGGAGGGAGATAGGGGAGCTCACGCAGCCATCTAGTTAACGGCTTCTGGTGATGAACCAGGAGCAGGCTCAGGACTTCCATCCATGGCCTAATCAAAGCCTGCCTTCCTTAATCCCGTTGCCCATCCCTCAGGATGATCCCCACCCAGAGCCGGAGCCCCACAGGCCGATGCGAAGGGAATGAGATTTGTAACAGAGGCTTCATTTCAAAGCCACCACCCAGAACTTTGCTGGATGCTGCAGATATTTTCTCTTTCTGGGCTATTCTATTCTCACCTTTTTCTTTTAGCAATTCATGTTTCGAGTAGTAATCTGGCCAAGAATTTATAAAAAGGAACTGTGGGCAGAGATCGAAGTCCTGGGGCTGGCAGAAACAGCCGAGCTCGTCACTAGCTGGGAGTCATACCTTTGCCATGTGATCCCCCCCCCCCCCCACACACACACACACTTTCACCGGTGAGTTATCTAAAGCTCAGGTGGAGCTCAGCGTGTGTCTCTGGGATCGGCTCTCAGTGCCTGTGACTGCCCTGTGGACAGCCTTCATCCCAGCTGCCTGAGAGCAAGCAGCTCACAGCCCGCCATCCCTTTGTTCCAGCTAATGGGGAGATCCCCAGACTAGTCAGCCACCAGGCCCACACCAGCTGGCCACAGGCAAGGCTGGGAGCTTGGCTGAGTTCAGTGGGCCCTGTCCCAAACCGCTAGCCTTCCCAAGCTGACTCCAAAAGTGTGAGGCAAAAATGTTTGAAGAGGGAGGCAACAGACATGGAGGTTGGCTGTATGGTTGAGGATGACCTTGAACTTCCCATTCTCCTGCCTCTATCTCCCAAGTGCTGGGGTTACAGGCAAGAATCACCACCATGCCAGGGAAGCCCTCTACCAGTTAAGCTGCTCTCCTGCCCCATCCACTCTCTTTTTGGTTGTTTTTTCATGACAGGGTTTCTCTGTGTAGTTTTGGTGCCTGCCTTGGATCTCGCTCTGTAGACCAGGCTGGCCTCGAACTCACAGAGATCCTCCTGGCTCTGCCTCCCAAGTGCTGGGATTAAAGGCATACACCACCACCAACCAGCGCCATCCACTCTCTTTTAAGCCAGTCAAAAGGTTGAAGAGAAGCCAAGCTGGCCTTGACCAGCCCCATACCCTAGAGCACTCTGGGGGCAGTTACTCTCAGGAAGCTGATGCAAAGCACCCCAGACCACAGAGAATCTTCTCTCTTCAGGTAGGACTGAGTTTGTGTTCTGGTGTTTGTAGAGTTACTGCATGCTCACAGAGTTAGGGCACCCAGCCAATCCAGGCTGACAGACAGATGTGTGGCTCCACGCAGTGCTGCAGCGCTGCCACCCCCAGGGATCTTGTCTGGGAGAAGAACTGCCGGACTCCGAGCTCCTCCCCTGGAGAGCCTGTGATAGCATCAAGCAAAACTTGGCCAATGGTGAGCTGAATACCTCAATATCACAAGACTGGCCTCATTTGCATCTCTCCGAGCATCTTTGAGATGTCTGTTGACCTGCTTGTTTCCTTCTTGGCGAATTCATATCCTTTGGCCCTTTCCCCATCTGGTTATCTTTTCTTATTGATGCAGTCTGTTGTATGGTTTCTCGACACCACAGGACAGTCTTCTCTGATCACGGGATGGCTGAGTGCTGGAGGCTCTCCCGATCAGATCACAGGCTGGCTTGGTGCCAGGCTCCACTCATCTGAACCCATGTGGGGCTTTGATTGGCAGCTTTGCTTTCTCTACCAAGAGATGGATCCGACGATACACATGCTCGGGTAGAGAGGTACTAAATCTTCCTGTTGTCTGGAACTTCTGTCACCCAAAGGCCCAGCTTGGCACCACTGTAGAGTGGAGGAGCCTTAGAGAGGAAGGTTGGAGACTGTTAGGTAGTTGGGATGTGGAGGGACTGTGGGACCCCAAGCCCTTTGTCTTCTTTTATTTCCTCTTCATTTTGCTTCACCACACACTCACACTGTGACAGGCCACCTCAGACCCCAAAGCACCCGAGCCCTCTGACCATGGCTTGGAACCCCCAAAGCTGAACCAGCCCGAACGTTCTCTTTCTAATAAGTCAGTCTCCTCACACGTGTGTTACAGTGATGGTGAGCTGAGCTGATAGTGCTCTCTACATGGGCACACCTGTGAATGGGCCCCGACTCCCCAGATGACTTGGGGAGACATTAGTTCCAGGGTCACTGCAGCACACATCTGTTCTGAGGATGCTGAGATTGGGCATGACACCCACAGAAACACCAGCATGGGGATCCACATTGGTCCTCGCATTGGGAAGGGAGGACTGGGAGAGGGTGAGAGACTGTACAGCATCTGGAGGCCTGATCTAAGGCGGCAGGCAGCTCTGAGCCCTGGAGCAGGGAGGGTTTGGGGAAAGAGGACTCTGGTCCAGCATGCACTGTCCTCATCAGCCTGATGCTCTCAAGGAGAGGAGGGGGGCCTGGGCAGAGACTGCTCTCTGAGCTGAATACAGCACCTTAAGGGCTTGGCTCTCCTGGCAACAGGGACGGAGGGCCTTGGCCCCTGGGGAGATACTTTTGAGTGTGCATGCTGTAGTGGCCCATCTCACTCAGAACAAAGTCTATGTTAGAGTGGCTTTCAGCCACCTGCCATGTCCACTGGGGCCTCCCTGGCCAACTCTGCTGGTCTCCTCTCCCTCCCTTTGCTTAGCCTATCCAACCTCACCTCGTTCCTGAATGAAGGGAGCAGTCTCCCGTTGACCCTGCTGTCATGTGCCACAGCCTGTAATACCTGCCCTCATCTCTATGCTCTTGTGCCTTCTGTTGAAGGTTACCTTCTTAGGAGATGTCACACCGCAGGGATCCCCTGGCCTCTAAGCCCCGCCCTCTGACTACTGCATGAGTCACTGACACATCTTACTCATTTTCTATCTGTTTTGACTTTTGAGACAGATCTTCCAGCGTATCCCTGGCTAGTCCAAAACTCATTGTGTAGTCCAGGTTGGCCTCAAACTCACAGTGATCCTCCTGCCTCAGCTTCCTGAACACTGGGATTAAAGGTGAGAGCCACCATGCCCAGATCCCTTTCAGATGGTCTCCCCCAGGGGAATGAGAGAGAGCTAGAGCATGTGGGTGTCTCATCTCTGTCACCTTGTTCACTGTGGACCTCCAGGTTGGAGGGGCAGTGTGGGATCCCTGGCAGTAGCCCTTGGTGCTCCTTGGAGGAAGGAAGGGATAGAGGAAGGCAGAGATGGAAGAAGGGGTTGATTGAGTAGGTGGAGCTGTCAGCAGGCATGAAAGACAGAGACTCTCGGGCCTGCGTGCTGCCTTAGACTCCCAGTGACAGTCAGGTGTGCGGTTCAGCAGTAGGGCATGTGCTCAGCATGTCTGAAGCCTGGAGTTCTGTCTGCAGCACCACATACAAAACAAGACAAAAAGACAAGCGAGAAAGAAACATGATCCCTTCCCTGAAGCAGCCAGGATAAAGCCTGTGCCCTTCGCTGACAGACCCGCTTTAAGAGTTCAGACAAGCGGAACGTGGACCTGGACGCCAGGGCTAGTGCCAGGCTAGTGCCAGGCTAGTGCCACACTAGTGCCAGCTGTCCCCAAGCTGAAGGTAACATCCCAGAGATGGGGGCTGGAGAGATGGCTCAGCAGTTAAAGCAATGACTGCTTTTGCAGAGGACCACAATTTGGTTGCCAGCATCCATGTGGCAGCTCACAACCATCTGTAACCCCGGTTCTAGGGGATACGAGATCCTCTTCAGGCCTCCATGGACCTGGTGTTCATACACATAAAACAACAATGAAAAAATTCTTTAATGATCCTAGAGATAAAGTGTATCCATGTGGGGATGGGCAGGACTGACTACCCTAGGCCTCACCCCCATGCACCTACTGCTGACAGGTGGGTATCAAGCTTTCAATATACCTGGTCAGACAGTAAGGAGATCTATGACAAGGCTTGTCAATCAAGGGGTCTCAGCTTCCCCCGTCCCGTGTGGTTACCCAGTCACACAGACATTTGGGAGTGGGCATGCTGGGGATGTGGCTACTAACATCTGTAGTTGGTGCACTTTATAGAAAAGGAGCTTACTGTGGGTGGCCTGTGTGACAGCCCTGAGGAACAGACATGAGATCTCCCTGAGGAAAAGAGCCACCCCTGACAGCAGCTCCAGCTGCTGTGTCTCTAGCCTGCTTTTTACCTTGGATCCTAACAGCAAAGAAAGGATGCTATCAAAGTCCAGCTTGGTGAGCCAATGAGTGTATTGGCTGGATTTATATGAGCATGGGTGACTCAAAGCATCAGGATCACCAGAATTCCTCTGGGTGATTGTGAAGCTCTGCCACTGAGGTGTCCTACCCATCACCCAGGCAATCCATGCAAAGCTGTCCCACTGAGGGGTCCTCAGGAAAACTTACAGGCATCAGCAAGCACTGCCCAAGAGTCCCAATCCCAGTAAGCCTTCACACTGTCTGTATCAGTGGGTCTCAACCTTCCTAATGCAGTGACCCTTTAATACAGTTCCTCACATTGTGGTGACCCCCAAACATAAAATTAAAATTATTTTTGTTGCTACTTCATAAATGTAATTTTGCTACTGTTATGAATCATAATGCAAATATCTGTGTTTTCTTATGGTCTTAGGCAGCCCCTGTGAAAGGGTTGTTTGACTCCCCCAAAGGGGTCGAGACCCACAGGTTGAGAACCACTAGTCTAGACATTCCAAGAGTTCCAGCCCCTAGTCAACCTTCACATTCTCTATAACCCAAGAATCCTCTGCTCAGTGAATTGGTTAGCTCTTCTATAATCCTAGAGAGAAATGTGCTCACATGTGGGTGATCACAGCTACTCTGATTCAAGATGCTAATGGTCACATTCAACCTGGAGGGAAAAAACACACAACAGACTCCTTGTGGCTTTCAGAGAGGCTCAGCTAGCCTCTGAGACCAGCCCTATGATTAAACTCCCTCCTGATGTCAATAATC